TTTGTTCTTGCTGAGGTATGTCATCTACGGGTTAATGGTGACCGGATTGAGAGGAATATGGATAGACTATTGAGTGAGCGGAATGATTCTTTGTCGTTTCCGGAGACTATGATGGAGATTGAGACGGTAAGCGATCCACCGATTCAGATGGTAGGATTGGATTTGGGGAAGAGAAAGGTGAAGGAGATGATGTTTAAGTTTACGGATACATATTTGTTTGGGATCTCTGGAATGAGCGGTTCAGGGAAAACCACTCTTGCAATAGAGCTTTCAAGAGACGATGATGTTCGAGGTTTGTAAAGCTTCATTGAGTTTGCTATTGTTGGTTTGATGATTATGAATCTTGATCAAGATTTATTTTGTGCAGGCCTCTTTAAGAACAAGGTTTTGTTTCTGATTGTGTCACGGTCTCCGAATTTTGAGAATCTGGAGTTTTGTATACGAGAATTTCTTAATGATGGAGTTCAACAACGGAAGCTAGTGATCCTTGATGATGTTTGGACAAGGGAATCCTTGGACAAGCTGTTGTCTAAAATTCGTGGAAGCACAACTTTAGTAGTCTCACGGTCCAAGCTTGCAGATCCTAGAACCACCTACAATGTGGAATTATTAAAGGAAGATGAAGCAATGTCCCTCTTGTGTCTCTATGCTTTCGATCATAAGTCCCCGCCTTCTCCATTCAGCAAAAAATTGGTGAAGCAGGTAATGCTTCTTTTTTAATCTGTAACTAAAAATACACTTGCTTCCAAATACTAAAATTGTTACTCTGTTTGGTAGGTTGTTGATGAGTGTAAAGGTTTACCTTTATCTTTGAAAGTTCTCGGTGCTTCGTTAAAAAACAAACCTGAAAGATATTGGGAAGGCGTAGTGAAGAGGTTATTAAGAGGAGAAGCTGCTGATGAAACTCATGAGAACAGAGTGTTTGCTCATATGGAAGAAAGTCTAGAAAACCTCGAGCCGAAACTCAGAGAGTGTTTCTTGGATATGGGTGCTTTTCCTGAAGACAAGAAGATCCCTCTTTATGTTCTCACCAACGTGTGGGTTGAGAGGCATGATATTGACGAAGAAACTGCGTTTTCCTTTGTTCTTCGTTTAGCTGACAAGAATCTCCTGACTATAGTGAAAAATCCAAGGTATTCGCTCTTTTATGATTTTGTCTCTTGTAGCCATTGTCCGCGTTTCAAAGGGATTTACCATATCATAATTTTGCAGGTTTGGCGATGTGCACATTGGCTACTATGATGTATTTGTGACGCAACACGATGTTCTCAGAGACCTAGCCCTTCATATGTCCAATCGTGTGGACGTAAATAGGAGAGAGCGGTTATTAATGCCGAAAAGAGAGCCAATGCTTCCAAGAGAATGGGAAAAGAATAACGATGAGCCATTTGATGCCAAGATAGTCTCCCTTCATACAGGCAAGAATTATTTAACTTTAAATGAATTTGGTTAGTGGCTAGATTCTTTCAAAGGTTTGATGAATTTTTATGTCTTTAGGGGAAATGGATGAAATGGATTGGTTTGACATGGACCTTCCTAAGGCAGAAGTTTTAATACTGAACTTCTCTTCTGAAAACTACGTCTTGCCACCATTTATTGGTAAGATGAGTAGACTCAGGGTGCTCGTGATTATCAACAATGGAATGTCTCCTGCGCGTCTACATGGCTTCTCCATCTTTGCCAATTTGGCCAAACTAAGAAGTCTCTGGCTCGAGAGGGTACATGTCCCTGAATTTACCAGCAGCACCATTCCACTGAAAAAACTGCAAAAGATGCATCTGATCTTTTGTAAGGTCAACAATAGCTTTGATCAGACGTCATTCGACATCTCACAAATATTCCCAAGCTTGTCTGATCTCACTATCGATCACTGTGATGATCTTGTGGAATTAAACTCCATATTTGGGATAACCTCTCTCAACTCTCTCAGCATAACCAACTGTCCAAGAATTCTTGAACTGCCCAAGAATCTGAGTAATCTACAGTCTCTTGAACGTCTAAGGTTATATGCTTGCCCCGAGCTGATATCCCTCCCGGTCGAAATTTGTGAGCTGCCATGTCTAAAGTACGTTGATATTTCACAGTGTGTCAGCCTGATTTATCTTCCTGAAAAGTTTGGAAAGCTAGGGAAACTTGAGAAAATTGACATGCGAGAATGCAGTTTATTGGGTTTACCAAGTTCTGTAGCTGCCCTCGTGTCTCTACGTCATGTCGTTTGCGATGAGGAGACTTCGTCTATGTGGGAAAAGGTCAAAAAGATTGTTCCGGAACTTTGCATTGAAGTCGCCAAAAAATGCTTCACCGTTGATTGGCTTGACGATTAGGCTTTTTGATCCCTCAAACTCTTAAGAACCTCTTGTATTAATCATTGCGCATCAGAGCAAGTTATTTGAACTTTGGAATGTCTCTATATATATAACATCATTTTTAGCTATCAATCTTAATCTCTTTTTATCACAGATTAATCAAAGTATTAAATTCAATAACAAAAATATGTGAATCCCAAGGTAAATTAATACTCCATCTGTCCCAAATTATAGGATGTTTTAGCATTTTTTCCTTGTTCCATTTTATAAGATTTTCCCAGATTTATATGCATAATTTATGTTTATTTAGTATGTTATGACCATTTAAATTGTGCAGTCTTTTTTTCTATTGGCTGAATTCCTATAAAAATAAACATTAATTATTCTTTAATCTTTGTGCTTTTACACAAAACATTTTATAAAATAGGACAGAGGGAGTAGTATATAGTATAAGGCAACTCGTCACGGTAAAGCTTCCTTACACTTCATTCGAAAGTATATTATTCTCTTGATATCAAACAGTCTTTTGGAATGGAGAGACGAAACGTTTCCATGGTCTTTTATGAGTCTATCCATCTTATAAGAAGAGTTTTTTTTTATCTATTTAAGGATTTAGGCACTGTTTTTAATGGCGATATCACCAATAATGTTAATGCATTCTTAGTGTTTGAGGTCCATCACCGAGCTTAGAACTTTCCTGCACCTGTCTAACAAGGACATTGTTTACAACTCGATTTCATATTCAGTTCACAAATATGACCTTTCTGGAGCGATAAAGGCGTCGCACTTGCACAAACAAGATTTGACTGGTTCAATCAAGAGAAAAAGATCGGATCACAAGAACTTATCGATACAAGAAGCAGAATGGAAAAAGAGTGATGCGAAACCAAAAGAGCACAAGATTTAATTACGAGTTCAGATCAGTCGATGTGATTGATCCTACGTTTGAGCCAGTATGGAATCTAGCAAGTCGTGATATGAAGTGTAAAGAGTGATCAATAGCTCCACAAATCTCTGGGTCTTATGATCGAGAGTACGGCTATATATAGCCTTTATACTCTGTTTTCTACTCTATAATAAACTGCGTATATTAGAATCCAAAATATCCCACATTGATAGAAGATATAATGTTTGGCAAATAAATAAGGTTTATGTGCCTTTTCACTCGTTACCAATTGATTTTGATTTAAAAGCCCATGATTCCTAATATGGTATCATAAGCGTTCCCACAAAAACGATCTCCGATCTATATTGCGTGTATAAATGGTCCGTCTTGTTGTGGTATTTCTGAGATGATGGGTTTGAGTTGTTCCCGTTTAACTGTTTCCGACCCACATTTCGAGGAATCATATCAGAATCCAAAATATCTCACATCGATATATGGGATAATTCTTGTCTAATTATATAAGGTTCATAGGTCTCTCCACTTATTGCCGTTTTGATTTGTAAACCCATGATTCCGAATAAACAATATCTGACTTTAATAGCTTTTCAAACTGAATTTCTATCCACTTAGCCGTTAGTTCAATTCCAATTAAGTTCTTAACCATTGATTCACGGTTCAGTAATAAACAAAAATTGTGATATGAGTCAAGTTTCTCTATGTTAAAGCGTTGTTACTCTATACTCCCTCCGTTTCACAAAGAGTGTCATTTTAAGATTTTAATTTTGTTTCACAAAGAGTGTCGTTTTATGTTTTCAATGCAGTTTTTAAGACTAATTTTCTTTTTTATCCCTACTATTTCAGATTATTAATTATAAAGAGGGTATTATCTAATGTATTAATAAGAAGTAGAAATGACATTTGTTTAATTTTCTTAATTTGTGTGAAAAATGGTAGAATGACACTCTTTATGAAACAGAGGGAGTATTAAACATGCGTGAGTGTTTGGGAGCCAATTGGCCTAAGATGCTGAGATGGCTTAATTAAGCTTACAAGTTATTCTTGTCTCCATAACATATCAAGGACGTCTTAATTATGTAATCCATTCCTTGGTCATTGCAATTAAGTTTACAAATTATCATCAAAATATGAAGTTAAATTTTCAACTTAGTTTTTGTTTTTTTTTCTTATAGATTAAATCTAACTTCATTGTCAAAAATATTAAACAGTTGCCACAGGATACATATATTTTACTCGATGAATCCTTGTTATCATAAATTAATGGAGAAACATAGCTGTATGTATGCATGTGTTTTTAACAAAAAAAAAATGTATGCATGTGTAACATATAATTATTTTTTGTTTCGGTATTATTTTAAGATTTTGCTTTAAAAAAAAACAAAAAAAAAAAATACATCCATTGGTTACAAAACCAGGGGGGGAAAGAGAAATTCAATTGACAATTTTCTTACAGGAATGGTCGTCACATGCCTAATCTTACGTTGATATTAGACTTTGTTAAGTTATGTTAATTTGGAAAAAATTTCAACAGAGAAAACAAGTGAAACCTTTACACATTGTTATGTCAAGTTCCATTGAAAAGTATGGTCAATGGGAAATGAAGACTCTTTATTAGTTCTTTGACTTTGACTTTAAACATGTGTGAACTCAAAGTAACTTTGCATTAAAAGCGAAGGAATGGGTCAATATTGGTTGATGTGTTTAAGTTAGAGGCACAAATCATTGAATCATTGATGATAAAGAAGAAGAAAAAGACTATAAAAAATCAACCGAATCGGCAAGTTGACGCAAGACTTTTGCTCAAATTGATGAGTTTTTCCATTTAAAAGACACAAGCCACCTTCTTCTCCACACAAAAAAAAAAAGGAGAAGAAAAAAGAAAAGAAAAAGGTATGATGGTTCGATTCCATTGTTATTTCTTCTGCTTGATTTTCGTCCTACTTCACACTCTTGCTTCTTCTACGCTCAACCATTGCCGCAACGACCAGAGGGATGCTCTTTTGGAATTCAAAGATGAGTTTCCGAGTCTTTTTGAGTTAAGCTCATGGAACAAGAGCAGTGATTGTTGTTCTTGGGTGGAGGTCACTTGCGATGCCAAATCTGGCAAGGTGATTTTACTTGAACTTCCTTCCACCTCTCTTAACAGCTCTTTAAAACCAAATAGTAGTCTTTTCAAACTCAAACATCTTACTAAGTTATCCCTTTACAATTGTAGTCTCTATGGAGAGATTCCTTCTTCATTAGGATACCTTTCTCGTCTCACAATTCTTGACCTTTCCTATAATAATTTAGTAGGTCAAATTCCAGCTTCAATAGGAAACCTTTCTCTTATTTCATCTCTTGACCTTTCTAATAATAGATTAGTAGGCCAAGTTCCTACTTCCATCGAAAAGCTTTTTCATCTCGAATGGCTTGTGCTATCTAATAATCAATTAGTAGGTAAAGTTCTAGCTTCATTAGGAAACCTTACTCAACTATACTACTTAGGCCTTGGCAATAACAACTTCAGTGGCAATATTCCTGTTTCATTTTCCAATTTAACGAAACTTAAAGAAGTGTACCTCAATAATAATTACTTTGAATCCATGCTTCCACTTAACATGAGTGGCTTCCAAGAATTGTCTTATTTTGATGTGGGAGAAAACTCATTTTCCGGGCCTTTTCCTTCATCATTGTTCACACTTCCTTTGTTAATGAAGGTTTTCATGGGGAGAAACAATTTCACAGGACCTATAGACTTTGGGAATATATCTTCATCATCTAACCCGGGGCTGGTTTTATACCTTGATCATAACAAATTCGATGGGCAAATACCCGAATCTATATCTAAGTTTCTTGATGTAGATTTTAGTTACAACTCTTTTAGTAGTTTTGGAAAATCATCGGAAGTTTTAGAGGAAACACAAATCCAGCAGTTGGATCTTAGCTCAAATTCCTTCCGAGGACCATTGCCCCAGTGGATATGTAAGCTTAGATCGTTAGACTTCTTAGATTTGTCCAATAATAGCTTTAGTGGCTCAATTCCTCAATGTTTAAAGAATTTAACAGTTTCACTTAACCAGCTACTTCTGAGTAATAACAATTTCCGTGGAACTCTTCCGGATATGTTCGTCAATGCCACCAATTTAAAAGTACTTGACGTTAGCCGCAACCAGTTGGAGGGAAAACTTCCAAAATCATTGATTAGTTGTAATCATTTGCAATTTTTGAATGTGCAAATGAACATAATCAAGGACACGTTTCCATTTTGGTTGGGTTCTCTACCATCGTTAAACGTCCTCATCCTCCGATCAAACCAGTTCTATGGGCCGGTATATCAGCCCCATTTATCCGCTGGGTTTCAAAATTTAAGAGTCATCGATATATCACACAATGGCTTTAGTGGATCATTGCCGCCTTCCTATTTTTCTTATTGGCATAACATGGCCAGAATCGTCGAACAAGATTACGATGATGAGAACTTAGGCAACCCGAGGTATGGTATCGACTATCATAATTCGATGGAAATGGTGCATAAAGGAGTATATACAGAATTTGAGCGGATTAGAAGGGACTTCAGAGCCATTGACTTTTCAGGAAACAATTTTTTCGGAAATATTCCCGAGTCTATTGGTTTGTTGAAGGAATTGCGTGTTCTCAACTTGTCAAATAACGCATTCACAAACAATATCCCGAAATCATTGGCAAGTTTGACAAAGCTTGAGGCATTAGACCTGTCCCGGAACAATCTGTCTGGTCAGATTCCTCGAGATCTTGGCAACCTCTTCTTTTTATCAATCATGAACTTCTCCCACAACAATCTTGAAGGTCCAGTACCACAAGGCACACAGTTTCAGAGGCAAAATTGTTCTTCGTTCATGGACAACCCCAAACTCTACGGTCTTGAGGAAATATGTAGAGAAACTCATGTTCCTAATCCTATACCACAAAAATCTGAGGATATGTTGGAGCCAAAAGAACAAGTGATTAATTGGATAGCGGCAGCGATAGCCTATGGACCTGGTGTCTTCTGCGGTTTGGTGATTGGACATATCTTTACTTCTCACAAACATGAGTGGTTCATGGAAAAGTTTGGTCTAAACAAGCCAAGAGGATTTATCTCAAGTACTCATTAAGTCGATCTCTTAAGTTTCTTTGAGTGTAGGTGAAACACATTTGTCTGTAATGAAATCGATCGGAAAATGTTTCTACAAAAATTCGTTTATGTTTGTATTTTTATATTTTGTGGTTTTAAAATGAATTCAGAAATTTCTTCCTACTCAAACAGTAACTTTTGATCGTATAAAAGGTTTATAGGGATTATTAATTTTTCACACAAAACACTTTCCCATAAAGTCTAACGAATAAAAATTAAATAATTCAATTTTTTTCAATTAAGATTTCTTAAACTTTGCAATTTCTTAACATTAATTAACAAAAATGTATTGGAAAATTAAACCTTTAAAAATAAATTTGTGGAACAAAAAAAAACTTAAACATCCATATATGTGTGGAAGTGAGGGAGTACATATGAGTAGTCTTCTATCTCGATCGGCTTTATCTAATATTATTTTCTCATTGTCAGTTTTTTGTCATGACTATTTTTTAGTTTCTCGATCTTCCATTCGTCTACTAGAACAATAATTATTTTACATTTTGTTTTCTACTTTTCTAGATTAGATTATTCTATTAAGAGTTAGCCACCAAGACATACATTCAAAGCTCCACTAGCTACTTAGAGTTTCTTCTATTTTAAGACGAAGCCATGAAAGCATTATTACTTCACAACAAAATAAAAAAGATATGGTTCGACGCCATTACAATTGTTATTTCTTCTACTTGATTTCCCTCATACTACGTACTATACACTCATGCTACTCCTACCATTCACCATTGCCGCGTCGACCAGAGGGAATCGCTTCTCGAATTCAAAGACGAGTTTCTGATTCTTCGACATAACCCAAGTGCTAATGATACATTTTTAAGCTCATGGAACAAGACCAGTGATTGCTGTTCTTGGGAGGGTATCAAGTGCGATGCTAAGTCTGGCGAGGTGACTTCACTAGCACTTTTCGTCATTTTTCTCAACAACTCTTTGAAACGAAATAGCGGTCTTTTCAAACTCCAACATATTCAAAACCTAACCCTTAACAATTGTAGTCTCTATGGAGAGATTCTTTTTTCATTAGGAAACCTTTCTCATTTCACCAAGCTTGTCCTTTCGTCTAACAGATTAGTAGGTCAAGTTCCAGCGTCATTAGGAAACCTAACCCAACTAAGACACCTAATTCTAGCTAAAAACAATTTCATTGGCAATGTTCCGGTTTCCTTTGCCAATTTAACGAAGTTGTCCACATTAATTTCCAATTGTTAGATCTTAGTGAAAACAGTTTCATTGGACCAATCCCCAAATCTATATCAAAGTTAGTCAAACTTGATTTCATTGATGTTTCCAACAATAACTTGGAAGGCCAAGTACCAGGTTTCTTATGGGGATTGACTGCGGCGATGCTTTCTCACAAACTCTTTCAGCAGTTTTCTTATAAAACAAAATGTAAGTGTTGGACCTTCAATCGATTTGTTTCAAGGACCATTTCTATGTCGGATTTGCAAGCTCAGATCGTTACGTCTATTAGATTTGTCCAACTATAGCTTCAGGGCTCAATTCCTCAGTGCTCATGGAACACCACTAGTTTACTTGGAGTGTTATTGCTACGTAACAACAATTTTAGTGGAAATTTTCTAGATATATTTTCAATGCTACCCAAGTTGAAAGCATTTGACGTTAGTGGCAATCAATTGGAGGGAAAAATTCCAAAATCACTAATCAGTGGCAAAGGTCTTAAATTTTTGAATGTGGAAGGCAACGGAATTAAGGAAGAGTTTCCATTTTGGTTAGGTTCTATGTCATCTTTAAACGTCCTCATCCTCAGATCAAACCAATTCTTCGGGCCGTTGTATCATCCCCACTTATCCATTGGGTTTCATGGTTTAAGAGTCATCGATGTCTCACATAATGACTTCAATGGAACATCGCCGCCTTTCTATTTTTCAAAATGGCTTGAAATGACTACATTAAGTGGAAATTTTGATGACACATACATGGAAGATTCCAGGAATTATGTTGGTGTGTTTCGTAATTCGATGGAAATGGTGCATAAGGGAGTTGATACAGAATTTGAGCTGATCAGCAGGAAACAATATTTTTGGAAATATCCCTGAATCTATTGGTTTGTTGAAGGAATTGCGTGTTCTCAACTTGTCAGGTAACGCATTCACAAGCAAAATCCCACATTCATTAGCAAATTTGAGAAAGCTCGAGGCATTGGACTTATCTTCAAGATCTTGGTAGGCTCTCCTTTTTGTCAGTCATGAACTTCTCCCACAACAATCTTGAAGGTCCAATACCACGAGGCACACATTTTGAAAGGCAAAATTGTTATGTATTTATGGACAACCCCACCAGACTCTACGGTCTCAAACATATATGTGGAGAAACTCATGTCCCGAATCCTACATCACAAGAATCCGAGAATTTGTCAGAGCCGGCAGAACAAGTGGGAAAAACGATCTATTTCCCCACGATAAGTATCGCATCATAACAGATAGAGCCCATTCTTTGACCTCGGTCCATATCTCCATGAAATCAAAGTTCTATTCATATTTCTCCTCGAATCGAAAGTTCTATAGCTAAATATCCCCGAATCTGGGTTATATCGGTTTGCGCTGTAAACCCAAACTAAACCGAATACCAAACCACTAAAATTTGATTCTAAACTGAATTAAAATATAACCCACCCGTAAATGGCCCGATATCATCTTCTTTTTCACCCGATTCTTCAAACAACCAAACGATTATGATAAATTTGATATCAAAATTACAAAAGCTCATTGGAGAAATTCATTGTGATTAACCAATAATCAAATTCAATGGTAATCAAATTCGATGGTAATCAACTTACAACATCCTCTCCCTATAGCCACCAAACCCATATTGGTCAAATCGCCGGAATTCTTAATCGACAACGACTGCAATCCTCCACATAGAGCCACGCCGTCGAACCTCCTCTATTCTATAGTAGAGCAAACATCTTGGAACTGTCCTAGCTTCAATGTTCTTAGCTTCTTGGATTTAGAATTCTATGTCTCTAAAGCTACACCACTATGCTTCACATCACATCCTTCCCTACGTCAAGAACCAGCTCCTCTAGATTCGGTAAACCAGAGAAAACCTCAATTAGCATCCCCGCCGTGACAGCTGAATCTCCACCTTCTTCACTCGTCTTCTTCTTCAACAACCTCCGGATCTCCGACGGCGTCTTCGTCCCACACAAACGACGGCGGTCTCAGCAAACGTAAGATTATCTCAAACAAGATCAGATCGTTAGAAAAACTTTTACCATGAGAAAGAAAAATGAGTTTAGCAATGATTCTAGAAGAATCGAATTTGATTACAGGTCAGATGGTGGTGATGGGATATGCTCTCGTTTTTTTTAATTCGATTGAATTTGGTTTTGATTGTTTTAAAAAGTAGAGAATTTGCTTTAGATTTTGATTTGAATCATCAAGATCTACCTTTGGGTTGATTAGATTTGTTAATTACGGTCATATATTTGTGTCTACGATGAGGCTCTGTTTGTTGTTTACCATTGGGTTTTAGCTTTATGAAACTTTTTTTTTTTTGTTCACGAGCTCTATGAATCTATGGTCAAATTATAATGTCAACGGGTAAATCGGGTTTATTCTGGTTATAATTAGGTTTAGATGGTTTGTTTCTCGGCTTTATATACAATAAACCGATTAAACCCAGCTCCGTGGGGTTTTGGCTCTCGAACTTTTGTTTCGGGGATATTAAGCTATAAAACTTTCGATTCGGGGGGAAATTGGAATAGAACTTTGATTTCACGGAAATATGACCGAGGTCAAAGAATGGGCTCTATCTGTTATGATGTGATACTTCTCGTGGGGAAATAGACCGTTTTTCCGAACAAGTGATTAGTTGGATAGAAGTGGCAACAACCTATGGACCTGGTGTGTTCTGTGGATTGGTGATTGGACATATCTTCGCTCCACACACACATGAGTGGTTCATGGAATGTTTCGTCGAAACAAGCCCAAAACAGTAGCCATGAGTGCTCGTTGAAGACCATCTATTGTAGTCTCTCTAAGTGTTTGTGAAGCATATGTATGTAATTTTCTATTCTATGGCTTCGTAATAAACGTCTTTGGTGACTTTTTTTTAATCTTAAATTCAAAAGGTCAGAAACTTCTTCCTCCTCTAGTCACATCCTTTCACAGTATCAAGTTTTAAATTATAAACTCCATGGTTAATGACATCTTGTGATGTTTATATATGGTTATCAAGAATTCTATAGGCTTTTGGTGGTTTGATTTTGTCATTTTCTCTTCCATTGAAAGTTGAAACCATTAATTCACATCACTTTTTGTCGTCCTTATGAAGAGTTTCCGTCAAAAGCCCCAATGGAAACTCTTCCTCTCCTAAAATTACAGAGTTTGAAAGTCTCTAACACTCTTGCTTCTTGCACACGTCACTGTTTGTCAACTTAGAAACAGATAAAACATGTTAAATTGTCAACTAATTTACACTAAAGCTGATAAAATGTTCCCACCGGATAATAACTTGAAGGAGATTAGCTAATGTGTGATCATATGAAATTGAAAAAATGGAGATTTATTTTACCAAAATTTAGAGAGAATGCATCTATAATTAATTTACTGAATAATCCCTCTCACTCTAATGCTAAATTAAAGTCTGCTTCATGAACCTAAATCTATCGGCCAATCTGAAGGCCCAGTTGTCCACGTCTAGATCATTTGTACAGTACCATAGATCGTTCTAAAATCTAAACAGTCAATCCTTTGACTTTCATTTTTTTGGTCAATATCAACTGCGAAAACATGAGACGTAAACGTACTTTACACAAAAAGTTGTGTTACATAACTAGGGGTGTCAAAATGGATAAAAGTTAATGGTTCAATCCAAACCAATCCAATCTATGGATATAATGAATGAGAAATTTGGATATTAATGGATTTAATGGATTAGTGAGTTCAATGAATTGGATTGAAATGGTTTATGTTAGAATGGATTAGTGGATTACTCATAACCAAACCAATAAAGATTAAACATTCTAAATTAAATGTCTAAACCAAATATAATCAAATCAAATGTGAAAACCGATTTTAATAAAACCAAAGTAAACATGATTTAACTATTAAATCCATGAAATAAATTTTTCCGCCAAAACGTGATTCAAC